ACATTTGTTGAGCATGTTCCTTTCTTTGGTGCTTCTCCTGAGGAGGAGTATTCAGAGGAGTTGTTTGTGATGTCACTATCTGTTTCTCTTCCAATTCCAATTGAGTTTCCTTTCATTAATTCTTCTTGTGGGCCTCCTTCTCATGTTCCTACTCTCCCTCCTCCTCCTACTCATCCTAGTGTCCAAAGGTGGTACCAGATACAAAGATTCATGGACGTGCAAGTTGTTTCCATACCTTCAAATGAGCCCCTTTCACCTCCCATCATTACTAAGGTAACAAGTTAGCCCTCTTCTACCACTTCAAATACCTTCTCTGACCTTAATCTCCCTATTGCTCTTCGCAAAGGCAAACGGAAATGTAAAAATCATTGCATTTCCAAACACCTGTCTTATATCTTCTTTCCCCTTCCTACCATTCATTTCTTGCCTTTGTTTCTACACATGTGACTCTTAGATGTGTCCCATAAGCCTTATCCAAACCAGAATAAAGAGATGCTATGATGACTGAATTAGATGTTTTGCATAAAAACAATACCTGGGAAATTGCGGTTTTGCTTGAGGTAAATGAACCAATTGGTTGTAAGTGGGTGTTCACTATCAAATATCATTCAAATGGTATTATTGAAAGATTTAAGGCCCGTTTGGTTGCTAAAAGATACACTCGGATGTATGGTATTGATTACCTAGAGTTTTTTATCATAGTTGCCAAAATGACTTCAGTTTGAGTTTTGGTATCTTTAATTGTTGCCTTTGATTGACCACTTCATCAATTCGATATTAAAAATGCTTTTTTGAATAGAGGCCTACATGAAGAGGTCTATATGTCTTTACCTCTAGGAGTGTATAGGAAGGTAATGCAAGGGAATGTTTGTAAACTAAAGAAGTCTCTTTATGGCCTTAAGCAACCCCTTAAAGCCTAGTTTAACAGATTTTGGGTTGCCCTTGTTACTTTTGGGGTACACGCAGACTCAGTCAGATCATACCATGTTTATTAAGAGGAGAGATTCCTTAGTGATCATTCTGATTGTCTACGTTGATGATATTGTGGTTATTGGTAATGATACTCAATAAGTTATTGATCTCAAAATATTTCTTAACACTGAGTTTGAGATTAAAGACTTGGGTGAATTCAGATATTTCTTAGGAATTGAAGTTCCCAGGTCTACGGATGGTATTTTCATTAGCCGAAGATCATAAGCTTGAAAATTTTTTGTAACAATCTATAAATCCTCAATTTAAAAAAGTTTCTAAAAATACTACAAGTATACACTTCAATTTTTTCATATAAACAATATTTAATTTCTACTCTATTAAATCATTTTTTGGTAAAGTACTCTATCAAATCTTAATTCTATAATTTTTCTTACTTTTGACATTTGGAGTTCCAAATATAATATTAGTTATATTTGTGTCACGGGGCATTTTATTGATGACTTAAGGCTTTTGTAAAAAAGAATTTTAAGTTTTACAATACTTAAATAGCCACATATTGGCATAACAATTTCTATAAGTATTTTAAATAATGTACATATGTATGGTATTAAAAATAAAGTTTTTTCTATAAGTTTTGATAATGCTAGTAATAATGACTTTGGTATAAATATCTTAAGTGATAGCCCAAGTAGCCTAACCTAAGATGGGTGTGCATTGAATTCTATAAGATCATTTTCTCTCAAAACATATATATTCAAAATTTATTGTGCTAAACAAAAATAAATAGAGAGCAATATAATGTGAAGTATTTTATGTAATAAACAAAAGTAATATAAAGTGAGTATCTATAAAAACAATCAATAAAAGCATACACAAGGTTTTATAGAGGTTTGACCATATGTAACCTGACATCCTCTCTCCAGGCACACCACTTGAGAATTTCCACCACTTTATAACAAGGTTCAAAGTATTAGAAATACAAGATGTATCGGTAAGGCAATTTTAAGAGGCATATCAAGATACTCTTTGGATACGCATGGAAGGATGAAAAATTAAGATACACATGGATATGTTAGAAATTTTAAATAAATCACAAAAATATAATAATAATAATAATAAATATAAGTTTTATGTGACTATAAATGAGTTATTTAAACATAAAAAAAGCATACTTTAATGATTTATATACATTGTAACACATCAGAATACATTTGATAACTATTGAAAAATGATGAAGGAATTAAAATTTTAATTTGTTATTTTTCATAAATCAATATAATTTGTATTTATTTTTATTAGTATATAATTTTTAATAATCAATTTTAGCATTTATTACCAAACATTCCTGATGTAGAGGCAAAAACTATTCAGCCTCAAAATGGAATTTCTTGGGCTTGGAGGGGAGTTCTAAATTTCAGAGACTTACTCAAAAGGGGTATGGGTTGAATTGTTGGAAATGGAAAGAATATTAAGTTTTTGAAATATAACTGGTTGGACTCGACTCCAATTGAAGGAATATTGAATAGAGACCCTTTGGGGGTTGAAATTGAGCAAGTGGAATTGATAGTGAGTGATGTTATTAACCATGACAGACATATTTGGGAGGAGAATATGATTCGTAACTTAGTTCCCCTCAATATTTGGAATGACATTAGAGCTATCTTTATCCCCTCTAGCTTAAATGAGGATATGTTAATTTGGAGGTTGAATCCCAAAGGACAATTTATTGTTAAATCGGCCTACAAAGAAGCTATTATCATGCATAGGGGTCAGGATGATCTTAATCTTCAGGTCAACAAGATATGGGAGCTTAAAATTTATCCTAAAATCAAAACCTTTTTATACCTGCTACTTAATTATAGGCTGCCTTCTAAGACCTTCTTGAGGTCTTTAGGTCTCTCCATTGATGTTGGTTGCAGTTTTTGTGATGGAATTGAAGACACAAATCATATTTTTAAAAACTGTACTATTGCTAAACAAATCTATAGTATCTTAAACCTAAATATTAAGGGGCCTAGTGGAAACGACTCCTCATTTAGGGAGTGGTGGGATGGCTTACTTTCCAATCAAACCGATTCTATGATCCCTGTGAAATCCTGCTTTATCTTGTGGCAAATTTGGAAGAATAGAAACGAAAAAACCTTCCTTAACTGTTGTTGCCACCCTTCGGTCATTATTGATAGAGCTTTGTCTCTATATTTTAATCACAATGTTGAGAATTTTCTAACTTAAGTCCTATACAGACTAAAGAATGGAAGCCAATCAAATGGAAAGCTCTAAAAGGGGGTTCTATCAAAATAAATTTTGACGCGTCTAGAAATGATAAAGGTGATTGCGCAATTGGTTGTGTTGCAAGAAATCAATGGGGAATGTTCTTGATACCAAAGCTTATTTTATTGAGAATTCCTCAATTAATGTAATGGACGCTTGGGCTGCGTGGGAGGCCCATAACATTGCCCTTAACTATAGGGGTCTCCCCATCTTCATTGAGGGAGACTCTCTTATTGTGATTTCGTGTTTAAAGAATAAAGTGGACTGCTTGTGGAGATTGAAGACCATCATTGAGGAGTGTTTGAAGCTAGTTGGAGATTTGAAATGTGGAGTCACCTACAACCACATTTATAGAGCGGCTAATCAAGCTACGGACTGGATGGCAAACCAAGCTCTTTCTTTTCCTCTTAGTATTCTCAGTTTTTGCTCTTCCTCTATCCATAGGGACTTAAGTTCTATTTGTTTTTGTGATGCTTGGGGCCGAGCTACCCCTCATCTTGTGTAGCTCCTCCTATTTCTACCATAAAAAAATAATGTTTTTAAAATGCAACAATTCTTTACTCTATACTTTGGGCTTAGTGCCCGTTTGACCCTTGACGAACTTTAAAATGCAACAATTCAATACCCAAACCTTCAAAACGTGCTAATCCAATTGTTGTCATTATTTATGTGTATTATGTGATGACATGTGTGATTTAATTTTTTTGAAAATGCCAAAATTACCCTTCAAAACATTATTCATCATATTGTTTCTCAAGAATTAAGATTGAACCAAAGCAATGGTGAACAACCCCAAACCCATCGGGGTTTCAACACTTGTCACATTCGTTAGCTAGGGATTTGAGGGAGTCATTTGGTTTTTGTACGAGTTGGATCAATACCATTCCCTTGAAAAATTGTACCAAAAACTTATGCCTATGTTTCATCTTCTTAAGGTAGAAGATGATGAATAGTGTTTTAGTTTTGAGAATGGAATTTGGATGGTTGATAAAGAAAATTACATGACACCCAAAGGGCACTTATGTCTTTTCATATGCCATTTAGCGATTGGTTAACAAAAGGTACTGGATTGACATATTTTGAAAGTTTAGGTACTACATTGTTGCGTTTTAAAGTTTAGGGACCAAAATGACACTATGCCCAAAGTACAAAATTTCCCAAAATTTAACTTGTTTAGCTTAATAATATATCATTTAATATTTACATTTCAATATAATTGATCTTTATTAATAATTACAATTTAATGTAAATATATCTAATATGTATTAATTTATAATTAATTGAAATGGATATAGATATGTATAAATTTAATGAATTTTAAGCAATTTAATGGAGTAATGGAGAGAATAAAGAATTAATGGCATTGAGTGAAGAGAGTTATTGGCAAAATTAATAAATAAATATAATTAAAAGAGTTAATGGAAAAGAGGAGAGAGAATTAATGATGAATTAAAAGTCTTAAAGATAATTGATGACTTGAATTATTTTGTTCAATTTTAAAATAAAAAATTAAAAATTACAAAAATAGATAATTGCTTTTAAGAAAAAAATGCCAGCATAGCACATTCCAACATATAGATTAAGGTGTGGCCACCATACATCCATCCATGCCCGTGATTTCACGGTTTTAGCCAATGGCGTAGCGGATTTCTTCTGTTCTCGATCTTTTACCAAAAAAGAATTCTAATCTATGCGATCCTCAAAATAATAGATTCCAATCCAATGATATATGGGTGTCCCATTCTGGCCTCTGTTTCTCTCTCCACAAAATATGGAAAAAAATCAGAAAAGACAAAAGTTTGTCTGTCGACTACATCCCACAACTGCCTCCTCAGTTCCTCACCTCTTAAGTTCGACTGGAATCTCTTTTTCTTCTTTATTCTTTGTTGGTAAACCGCCAATTCATTTGAAATAAAAACAGAAGTCAAACACCATTCTTTCAGGTATTATACTCTTATCATTTTCGTATTTTCTTGGTTCATTTCCGTCATTTAGTTCCTTTTTTTTTACATTTTTTCTGATGAGCGGTGAAGATGTTGAATTACGAAGCTCTTTTGAAGATTGTGTTTATTCATATTCGTTCTGTTTGTGGATTTGACATTCTCGTTGTACACCAATTCGTTTTTCTAATTTCCATGTGCTTCGAAATAGATTATTAGTTGAGAAGTTCTGGGTTTCTAATATATTTTCATTTGAGATGATTTTTGTTCCTTTTTAATGTTGCTGGGTGTAGTGGAGAATTTAGGTACAGATTGATTGACAAGAAAAGGAAAAAATATATTTCTGTTTCATATACTAGTTTCTCTTCTGGTTTGAGTTTCTCGGTAAACTTGTTTGTTTGAATGAAATGAATTATTTGAGTGGCTTGATTTTAGTTCACCTTTTTTCATCTCGAAATTTGATTCGAGTAGTAAGAAATCTGTCAAATGAGCTTATATTTACGTTCGAAATGAAATAATTCATGGTATTGGAATCAGCACTAGGCATGCTGTCAATATTTGGAAAACAAATGGAAAATGGTATACTTGTTGACATTGGCGTCCAGGGGAAGGATGGTGACTAGAGCTACCAGTGCGTGATTTTGATTAGGTTTATATTTGAAGTGGTGATGCGTTTCCCTTCTAAAGGTTTTTCTCAATTCATTTGAATATTTTGTAACCTGGCTTACTTCATGCTGATTCAGAGCACGGTGAATTATGGTCATGGAATCTGTTTGTTGAGTTTTGATTGCATTATCCATGCCAAACGATTCAGGACAAGAAAGAAGGAATTTCCCTTTGATTTTTTTCAAATTAATAAGTTAAATTCCAATATAATTAAATTATTTAAAGAGAAAGTGGATAGGATATGATTAGGGTTTTGAAGCAACACCTGTCAGTTTCTCCCTTTGAAGATTGAAGATAGAGGCCTTTTACTGTTGATGGTTAGAACGCATATATTTCATGATCTAAAATGGAGGCATCACATGCAAGTGGTAATAAAAGCATTTATTAGTACTTGTCTCTAGTTTAGATGAACTTAACACACACTAATCCCTATTTCCTTTGTATGCACTCAAGTGCTAAAAGAAGATGATATGACTTCTAAATCCCCCTTATAGTATGCATTCAATCTCATTTCATTGAAGGAATCATTTATTGATTTTTATTTGTATGACTTGAGTATGGTAGTTCATCCTCAAACTCATCTTGTAGATATAAGAATGAAATTGGAATTGTTCATGACTTTCCTTGTTGAAAGCACATTATCCAACAGGTTGGTAATTGGGATGATCAATAATTTGCCTTTACTGTACTTTAGAAGTAGTCAATATAATCATTAAGAAGAGCCTCTTCTTTATAGAAAAATGTTTCACTATTTGTTTCTATTGAGGGCATGAATATTTTTTGGTAATTTTCTTTATAGAGAGGCCTTAGGGACCATGAGGTGTTTGAGGTTGTTTCACTCCTAGGTAGAGTCCAGGTAGGCCTACCTGCTTCACCATATCCATAAGGATCATTCACTGGGCAAAACTTTTTCCTTGTTTTCCATGGATGACTTCCTTTTGGTGTGGAATGTGGTGGCAAATGCTACATCTAGAAATGAGGAATGTGTCTATTTGGATGGCTTAGCACAAAGTCTAATGAAGCTAATTTTGATAAGTGAATTGCAATCTAGGAAAACTAGGTACTTTTGGTATGTATGGTTCCTTTTGGAGATCATAAGGATGACTTTCTAGTACTGTTCTCAGGCCTGATTGGTATTGCAATGTTTTGAAAATCGTAATCATATTGTAATTTGTAGAGAAAGTTGAATTGTGAATTGTATTGTAAATCATAAGATTAGATCTATTTTTTACAAGCTTGTCAAAAAATTAAATATAGATATACTAAAAGCAGTGTTTTAAAAGACATGGGAGGTGTACACCTGGAGGCACACCTCCAAGCAAGGTGCCCCTAAAATACCCTGAGGCGTATGCTAGAGGCACTGATGTCTTTGAGGCATATGCCTCAGGTCCATGAGGCACACACCTCATACGCTTTTTGCATGAGGCATGCTAGAGGCATATGCTTCATGCACCTCATGCCTCATACAAAGAAGGCAGAAAGAAAGAAAAAAAAGGAAAAGGAAAGGAATGGAAAGGAAAGGGAGCGAAAAGAAAGAAAGAAAGGAAAGAAAGGAAAGAAAGAAAAAAAGAGAAAAGAAAGAAAAGAAAAGAAAAGGGAAGGGGAGGAAAGAGAAAGGCAAGAAATTTTAGGCTGATGGCTCTATCCCTAGACCCCCTTGGTTGGAGTCTTCACCCCCTAAACCCCCCAACACCTTTTTAATGCAGCCCAATTTAGTTTTTTTGTGCCAAGGGGATCTTGCTCCACTCTAGCTTGCTTGCTTGTCTCTGCTTAGACAAGGCCTCCCCTTTCAACTAGTGTTATGCATCTTCATTCTTTTTAATACAAGACATCTTTCATAAAAGAAACAAAAAGAAAAGAGACCCTCTTTCTTCTTCCTCCTCATCCCCGTCTTGTTAAGGAGGGCTATGCCTCCTTGTGCTCAGGAGGCTTATGCCTCTTACATTCTGAACTATGCCTCATGCCTCCAGGAGGTGAAATGCCTCGTGTTATGCCTCTGTGTTTTAAAACATTGATTACAAGGCTAAATATGTTTGGGAAAATGATTTTACCCTATTTTTAATCCATACCTATTATATATGTACTTAAAATAGTAGAATTTACCATTTGTACAATAGAAGCCTAAGATAATATAATCAAGTTTGACTTCAAAGTTAAGTTATCCACATACAATGGCTCTTTAACCTACGTATGATGTAAAATAAACAATGTCTAATTGATCAAAGAAAAAAAAACTCAATGTCTAGTCTTAAATAATGCAAGTAAATCATTTTCTAGTAAGGGGTTTAAAACATCAACTAAACTAAATATAAACTAAAAAGAATAAAAAGGACAATGTAGAAAAGTAATTCCTAATTTAATTTATTTGAATTGTAGGAATTGTATAAATTGTAAGATTCAAACAAGAATTGTAAGATTTTTGCAGAAAAGGATTTGGACATAAGATTCAAATCAAAACCCTTTGTAAGATTTCAACAACATTCTGCAAACTAAATCAATGCTAAGATATTGATCCTAAAATTGGAAGAATGCATTGAGCTACTTTCAAGGTTGGAAACTTGTAAAATTGAAGCTAATGTGGATAACTTAAGTTGGTGGAAGGAGTGTGTAGATGTGAGATTTTCTGTGATGTCTTTTTATGAAGCCATTCCTAGAGGTCAAGAAGATAATTCAGAGGTTGCTGGAATTTGGGGAAAGCCTCTGTCACCTAGAGTTGAAGCATTTGCATTGCTTGTTGTCTTAGATAGTATATTAACTTTTTATCATTTGAAAAATAGAGGCTATCAGCTCCCAAACATGTATTAATGATTAATATGTATAAAGCAAGAGGAAGACATTGGGCTCCTATTTTTTGTTTGTTTGTTTGTTTGTTTTTTATTTTTGATAATTCACCTAATTTTTGTTTGTTGCTGGACAGACTTCACCTGGGACTTCTCTTTGACATTTTCTATAAGCAGAAATTCTGTTCAGTTTATCCAAAAGATACTTCTCATTATGGCTAAGGAAAAGAGGTAGCAAGAAGGAGAAAGCTATTTGTAGTATGGTACCATTTGTAATCTGTTGGAATATTTGGAAAGAAAGAAATAGATGCATATTTGAATATAAGAGTCGTAGAAGAAGGGAACTGGTTGCTGACATCTCACATATGATTGCAGGCTGTGCACTTGTGCATCAAGAGATGAAGGATATAAAAAAAAAGGAAAATTTAGAAGATAGGTTGAGGTTATCCTCGGTCCTAGACCTAAGGTTGGGATGAGTTGTAACTGAAAGTTATATGTTTTTGTTGTTTTTCTTTGCATTGGTGAAATCCCACCACCAAGTTGGTTGTGACCTTTTCTTCACTGAAAACTTACCTTTTTTTCCCCATCATCAGTAGCTGGCTCAATTGCGGGGAGGTAGTCAAGAATCCGGAAGAAGCTGCTGAGGGGATTGTGGCTTCAGAAAGGGGTCAGAAGTCGGCGGGAATCCTGGAAGAATTTGTGGGAATTTTTAATACAATTAAAAGATTCAGAACTGAAAAGATTAGAAAAAGTTGACAGCAGATTCCAGATTCAAAGGTTTTTGTGTGACTAAAAGGAGGCTTATTTGGCATTGGGCCTAAAAAGCTCGTCAAAAAAACCAAAAGAGCAGATAGAAGGCAACTAGAAGAAGGTTTCTCAAAAAGTTGATAAGAAGACTTTGTTATTGGGAGTCCTTTGTGGGGTGGGTGATAGGGATGGGTTTTCTGTGAGTGTCGGCTGTGGTTTTAGGGTCGGCCTTTGGTCTTAGTGTTGCTATGTTGATTTTTTATGTTTTTCTTTTTCTGGTTTGTAAAAGTTTTTGTTGTAGTTTGGGTTGGTTTATTGGGGTTTGGGGCATTCTCACGTGGTGTTCCCGGGTTTGTTGTTTTCTCTTGGGTGATTGCTTATCACCTTTCTTGTATCTTCTTTTTGTTTAATAAAATTTTATTTTATCTTAAAAAAAAGATGCAAAAAAATTTCTTATGGAGTGCTAAAGATGCTGAAAAAAAGTACTATTTTGTGAAGTGGGATTCAGTGTGTAGGGACAAAAGAGATGGGGGTTTAAGGATTAGGAGAGTAAGGCTATTTAATAAGGTGCTCCTGGGAAAGTGTTTTTGGAGATTTGGTATGGAAAGAAATTCTCTTTGGAGGAAGGTGGTTTCTTTTTAGTATGGCGTGGCAGATTTTGGGTGGGATTCAAAAGAGGTGAAATCATCATATGAGGTGTGTGTGCGTGGAAAGGAATAATGAGTTTCCAGTCAGCATTCTTGAACTATGTATTCAAGGTTGGTCATAGAGCAAACATAAATTTTGGGAAGATGAATGCTCGGGCATTGATAGGTTTTGTGATTTGTGTCCAAGAATTTATAGATTGAGAAGGAAGAACATACCTATTGCCAATTGTTACGAATTAATCGAAGGAAGAGTGGTATAATGTCCAAAAGTTAGAAGGTCACTCCTTGATTGGGAGGTTGAGGAGTGCATAGGTCTATTAGCAAAGTAACAGTTGGTGGAGCTGCTAGTAGGGAGAAATGATGTGAGATGGTGGAAAGAAAGTGGGAATGGTGTATTTTCTATGAAGTCCTTTTATAAAGCTTTGGCAAGGAATCAGGTGGAGAAGCCGGATGTAAGATGTGTTTTGGGGGAATTCCATTCCCCCTAGGGTGGAGGCTTTTGCATGGTTAATTGCATTGGATAGTATCTTGTCTTGGATCACATCAAAATCGGGGGAGTTCAGTTGGTAGGGAGGTGCTACATATGTTTGACTGAAGAAGAGTATGAGATGCATTTATGTTTTGAATGACGTTTTTTGAAGTACATTTGGGGATACTTCTTTAGCCTTTTTAATCTTGATATTTAGGAGCCAAGATCACTAAAAGAAATATTTGCTTGGTGGCCTATCTTGAAAGGGAATAGGAAGAAAAAAATTGTATGGAGCTATGCTCCTTTTGCTATTTGAATCTTACCTCAATTTGACAGGGTGTCAAAGGATTCTCTTGGTAATGGATTTGGGTCATCATT